GGTCAAATAACCCATTTTTGATTATTTTCATCAAAAATTAAAAAATTCATAACTCAGTCAAAATCCATCCAACCTACTTGAGAATGTCAGGAAATACTCTATTTTATCCGCTCATTCTGATTCTGTACTTAAAATCAATAAAAAATATTCGCTTAGTTTCGAAGGTTTCTGAGAAACCCTTCTAGAAATCAAAGTATTTTCTGTTAGTTCTTTTCAACATTTATTGGCTCTACGGTACAGAATCAGAATGAGCGGATAAAATAGAGTATTTCCTGACATTCTTCTAAAATTATCCAGTGTTCGGTATTTCTTCGAAGCAAGCCCATTTTCTCCAACATTTTTGTTAGTGATTATGTTTGTTCTATTTTTTAAACACATAAAGGTGTTGACTAGGCTTTGTCTTAGTCAGCTGGCAGCAGCTGTTAGGTGAACGGCAGAAAATAGAAGAAAATATTATTATTGCGCTTGACAAGCAAAGCTAAACATTGGAAAAAAACAAAAAAATTCAAAAATTCTTCAAAATCCGACAGTTTTAAAGGAGGGGTGGGATCTTCTAGTTTGTTTTTTGCGTCTCTAGCTCAAGGGGGTCTTCTATTGTAGAGGGGTCTTGTAATGTGTCCACCCCTTTGCTAAACAAAGATTCTTCTCACATGACATCACAGCATAAAGAAACTTTGACTGCGCGATGACGGTTTTGTCAAGTTCTGCGTTATATAGTTAGGTAAGATAGTAAATGCTTTTTCGAAAACTTTTCAAGTTTTCGATATTGTTAGCAGTTATGTCGGCTCTTTGACGATGTCCTTCTCCTTGGCTTCGCGTATGCTAGACCCGTAATCGTATTTCCTTGATCAAAAGGAGCTATTGTTATCGAGTTTAATGAGGACTGTATTGTAGGAAAACTACCAAATCCAAACGAAGCTTGTATAGTAGGTGCTGTTGTTTGTGTTGAGAATGCGGAGGTAGACGAACCAAATCCACGAAATGGATTACTGTTCAAAGAAACAACAGCAGGAGGATTTATTGAAGAGGAAGCTACTTGTCCGAATCCATTACTCATGTTTGATGGCGTCGTCGTGAGTGTGGTGAGTGTTGTTTGGGGAACAGCTGACAAAAATGTGCACGGAACAACGTTAAACTCTACAAGAAAGGAATTATATAGAGATCGGAAGCGCGTGGCTCTTGTAACATGTTAATTATTATTAAAGTAACTACGTATGTTCCGTGATCACTATGATCCCTGTGGGATTTACGCAGGAAACACTATATCAACGTATTTCTTCAGTCCATTTCATCTTATACTTTTTTTGTGTATTCTAGCCGCTCTGCAAGTGACGGTTTCTGGATTTCAGCTGAGAAACTAAAACTGAGCCAGAACGAACTTCATATTCGTAATCAGTACGGTAGATTACATATAACAAGAGTGATTTCAGAGTTAAAACGATTAATCACTTGAGACGGCTTCCTCATGAGTGCTCTTTTCTATCATTCATTCATAATAATTAAAATCAAGCTGTTTTCCTACGTAAAAAGTCCTTCTCAACTTACTTTCTTGTTGTTGTTCTTGATTTGTGTTCAAATTTATCATATTAGTGTTTAAATCACATTTTATTCGTACCAAATCTGGATCCAGAACTCTGATATTGACAGCAATAAATTGTTTTTGAACCGTTGCCAAGTTTGTTTCAGTTGTCTGCAGTGCAGATTTTAATACCTCGATTTGATCAACTGTCGCATCGTCCTCACTAATCAATTGTTCAACATCCAGTTTAATTTTTTCTATCTCGTCCATTTGTTCACTTTTGTGCTTCACGAATGAAGCTTCATTTGTTTCAACAATTTGTTCAATCTCTTTACGTTTTATTGAGTAAATATCATCGATCAGCTTGTGAATGTCCGCACGCCATTGATCTAAATCTTCATAGGCTTTATTCGCCAGTTGTTCGATTTTTAAGTTTTGAATTTTCTCAACCACTTCATTTATCTGATCGACCAGTGGATGTAGTTGAGCTTTAATCGCTTCAATGTGGTCATTAAAGTGCTTACTGCAAACATTCTTTTGACAACAGTAACAGAGTGTGGCCACTGATCGAGCACAGCCCTGAATCTGACATTGTTTTTTAGGTATGCCAGCAGACATACTTTACTATTGAATGTTGTAGTCACTTAAGAGTAACGACACAAAACACACATCGCTTTTTATTTGTAGTCGAAGAAAAGAGAAAAAATGCATGTGCATGCTGAGTTGTTTTTCATAATATAATAGATGAAGAGGAAGAAAAAACAGTATTTATATTCAGATATCGTTTTCAAGTGCTGCTGACAACATAAAACTGAAAAACCGTGGGCGGTTAACAAAACAAACGCACAAATCATCGAACTACAAGACACACTGCAACTGCAGTTCCAACCCTCTAAGGCCCATAATTAACTTTTACACCAGAGAATTTAAGGGTCGAAATATCAGAAGAATGACAGACGATATTATGAGAAAAAAGCACTTTTGACTTGTATCGATGAACACAATCAGGCGGCCGTTCTCTAAACGTTTAGGGCCTCAGAGCTTTCAAATTCACGCTTTTAGTTTTTGTTCTCCGTGATTCCTCCAGGAAATCGTGGCCACTTTTTTCCCATAGTGTATTCCGAAAATTTCTCACTACATGTTTCTGTTGTTAACTACGCTAGTGTATTAACTAGACAATTAATCACATTTTCTTATCAAAACATATCTTAGATCGACTATGGATAAACAACGTTCAATAAAACTTGCAAATGTGTACATCAATAATCATATCAACATTATAACTCATTCTACAATTGACGAATTTTTAAACTCTTGTAGTAACATTAATTTGATAATTTAGCTTTTTTGTTGTCGAGATTAAAAGGAAATAGATGCGTGTTGATCTTACTATGATACTTAATAATAAACAAGAATGAAATGTGAACGTACTAGGGAATGCAGTAGAACAAACAATATAAAAAGTTCACACGAAGACGTGACTCGAAGAATGTACTAATTTGATCTTCGAAATAATTTCTGTATATCTTTTCACATTTGTTTTCAGGTATGAAACGATACGCATTCACACAGAAAAAAAGTTCTTATTTAGCCACTACGATTTTTAGTGAAACAATACAGGAGTTTAGCTAAAATACATGAAGGTTTAAAAAAGAATTACTTGAGAACGCAATGATAATATGACATCTTCACACGAAAAACAAAAGCTTTTGGCTGGAAAAACGAGAAAATTTTCAGGCTTAAAGTCGGGTACCGGACGTGCACATCTCTTGTCTCCATACATCTTTTTCTTTCGAAATATTTTATTCAAATCATTTGTCTATCGACTCTCTTTTGTTCGTTTTGTAAAAAAAAGGAACAGAAATCACCTACTTTGGAAGAGTAGGGCAGAAAGAGAAAAGAATGCATGAGTCAGGCAATTAAAAAGTGTTTTTTTCGTTTAGCTGAAACATGGAGAATGAAGAGGTCAGTCGTGAAAGAAGTGTTATAATCATATAAGGGAGAAGATAGCAAAAACTGGATATGGGTGGTGTGTCGTAAATGTAAAAACTTAGTCTGCATACATTTGTCAGAAACATACAGCGACTTTTTGATTTATAACTTTCTTCTGTTTTGCTTATCAACTTTTGGAAGAAGAAAGTTACACTAACGAAGACTGAGACATTCTCCGACCGTCCAAGGAGGGGATAAAAATTCACGATCTTTTTAATGATGCTCGTAATGGATAATATGAAAATGCCAGTGGATTTATTAAAAGTTGTCTTTCTCTTCTCTGTAATGTTGTTTTACAATTCTTCTCGATTGTGATGATTGATGATGGAGTGATCGGTCAACTCGTCGCAGGTCTTTTCGTCGCGGTCATTTTGTCGCTGCTATTTAGTCGCATGATTTGCTGTAACATAATATTTTTGTCGCACGGAACAATTCTTCGCATCAGATGAAAAGAACAAACAATAGACTGAAATAGATGCTTTGATCCACTCTATTAATAAACTATATGTTTGATTCAATAATGAATCTTGATTAGAATAATAATGACAGCTTGATCATAAAACCGTTTCTACTCATAAACTATATCTTTGATTTAATTTTCTTTCATGTTTCTTTTATCGTTCTCGTATGAAACGCCTACATGTAGACGAATAAGTTCAGTTCCCCATTACTTCTTTTAACGTTCACAAATTTCAAATGTCTTATATTACACGAAAACTGATAATACACCGAAAAATAAGTTTGATATCGATACTTTCTTCTAATGTATACGTACGGATTTCTCTTTTGTAGTTGGGAGCTTTTTCACAAAAAATTATGAATAATAGTATAAAGTTAGTAGTATTTGTCTCTAAATATTAGATTTCACTTGGACCGACAAGATTCCAATAAAATCTACGGTCGAGAAAGTATTCAAACGTCTTACTCAATATTAAAATGGCTGAAGCGAAATAGAAATATCTCAACCAAGAGTCTTCAACTTTGCTTCTTCGCTTACGCCTTTTTGCTTCTTCATATGGATCTTCTGTTTCTTTCCCCTGCAAGCAAAATGACAACCAGAACATTTCTACCGGAAACTCCGAGTAGGGATCGATATTGCATAGATATAGATACCATTTTGTGTCGACGGACGATCTTTTCTCCTTTGTTAACGAATACTACCTGAATTTTTATATAAAATCATACTTAGAGAAAATGCTGGCTCAAAAATACATGTCCGACTAAGATCAGTCTCTGGTTTTTAATGATGTTTTCTATTAGAATTCCTTCGTAAGCAGTAGAAAGAAACTTGGGATATGTCAGTTTTTTTAGACTAAAGCGTGTAAAAAAGATGGACAAGAACCATAAATGTTATCTTCTCGAATGGCTTTCATTTCTAAACAACTGTATCCGCGAGAGTTGAAATGCTCGCTCACTTATTCAACTTCTTTTGCAGATCCTTTTCCTTGTTACGTTTTCTTTTCCTTTGCCACATTAATCTTTTATGTTATTGTAAAAAAATTCTCAGTTGAAATTATGTAAAAGTATGAGAAAGAATGACATTGTAAACAAATGTTTTTGTATTTTTAATTACTTCATTTTCATTACTTCTGCAAGCACTTACGAGTGTATCGCAAAGCAAAGAAAAAACAGAATGAATGAATAAATGAATCAATTAAAAGTGTTTTTCTCAGTTAAATTAAACCGTAAAGAATGAAGAATAGAGATGGGCCGTAATACGTAAGAACGGTTAGCTAGCTTAAGGTTTGCAACCTAAAAGCATTCACATTTAGTGTCATGATACTGGCCTACTCAGTCAACACAACTATTATCTGCCAGCTTAAAATATACAAAGAGAACGATATTTTATTAGCCCTTTGCCGCATTTGCGACACGTTTAAATGTTCATTGGATTCAGTATTGTTGATTACCTATCATGTACAATAGATTGCACATAAGATTCGCATTTGTTTCCAATAATGCGAAGCTCTCTTTGCAACCAGAATCTATCGATTAAAAATATTAATTTTCTCAGTAACCTAGCAGAACAAATAAAATTGATCTGTACCATGTTTCCACAGGTATGCTGAAGTAAACAAACTTTTGCGTGGGATTAGCGCTTGTGGAGAGGAATAAACAAGAAGGAGGCGTTTCATTCACAAGATCTTCTTGAAGAACTGGATATCTCAGTAATATTATGCTTGATTAGGAATATAAATCAGAAATCGCTCTATCCAAAATCAGCATGCCAAATTCAGCCATCTTTCTGTTTCTTACGAATTTCTAACTGTCGTCTGTCTGATTGTATAAAAAATCCCGGCGGCTTGTGCAAAACAGTACAATGTGATAGCAAGTAGGGGACAAGATTATTAGAGATAAAAATGATAAAAAATAGATGGTCGGGCGAGGAATATCAGAAATGACTATAGGCGATCTCTGAAATCGATCTTCTTGGTCACACTAGTTTTTTCTCTTGATTAATGTGTCTGTGGCTGTGGCGGGCTTCTGTCGATGGTGGAGATTATGAGTATCACTCTTAGGAAATATTCCCAGGTAAAAAGTTGCATTTTACATCATATCCATCTATTGTATGAAGTTCCATGACTTTTATGTAAAAAGTAATTTCTTACTCTTAAAAATTAATTAAGTACTCTCTTAATGATACTGAAGTTCTAATGTAGTCAGAGCAATTAAGTGAGACTTTAATATTATCTTCTACGTGCTCCAAACATAATGCATTAAAAGTATGCCTGTTTTGGAGCAGCACGCAACGATCATTGTGTACTAACAGTTGATTCAACAACGTAGCGACGTTTTTGTTGAGGTTCAGTAAAATCCTAGAAAAAGAGTAACTACTTCTCTCTAGCTATCTTTATTGTCCCTGTAAGTCACTTCAATCAACAAGCTGTCAACTCGAATACAAGAAAAGTTAATTTTGCTTTTTGACCTCTCTTTGTTATAAAACAATCAAAATTTCCATTTTGTGTTTTTTCCTATTTTTAAGATGGAAAAAATGCAGACCTGTAGTGGAAGATATTTTTGGGTGTTTCACCCACCATTCGATCCAGATATACCAGTCGCAGAGCTGCACAACGTTTCTCGGGGAAACTACAGGGCATTTTTTGAAAACGAGTATTTTTCGGGTCTTGGGGTCTCTCGCAGTTTTGAGCGATTGCCTCAGCAAGGAAAGGGTTCTGAGCGACGGGGATGAGATATTCGTGATCGCCGTTCAATTCTCTATCGAATGCTGGGCGAAACGCCCAAAAATAAATTCCACTGCAGATCTGCATCTTTTCCATCTTAAAAAAATAGGAAGAAAACAGAAGATGGAATTTTTGATTGTTTTGTAACAAAGAGAGGTCAAAAGGAAACTAATTTTTCTTGCATTCGAGTTGACAGCTTGTTGATTGAAGTGACCTACAGGGACAATAAAGATAGCTAGAGAGAAGTAGTTACTCTTTTTCTAGGATTTTATTGAACCTCAACAGCAGCGTCGCTACGTTGTTGAATCCGTTGTTGAATCAACTGCTAGTACACAATGATCGTTGCATGCTGCACCAAAACAGGCATACTTCTTTCTTTGATCTCTCTTTGTTATAAAACAATCAAAATTTCCATCTTTTGTTTTCTTCCTATTTTTTTAAGAT